AAAGCTTTGAAAAAATTAATCTGTCATAAAGCGCACAAGATGTGACAGAGCCATTGCTGGATTTTCTCAGTTGTTGATAAAGAGAAGGCCCCTTTCTGTAAAAAGGATTTGTTTTTTAACAAAAAAAGTTGTTAACTATTCCCCTAAAACAATCTCACCATGGTGTTTCAGACCGTAAACGATAGGGTTCTAAACTTTTTATGAGCTTTTTTAAAAAAAAACTTGGGACCACTTTGAAATAATAATAATAATCCTTGTATTTGATGTAGCACTTGATGTGACCCTATCACCCCCATCTTCGCCCGACTCCACTGGCTTCCCATCACACCGTTCAAGATCCTGGTCCTCACCTTCAAAGCCCTCCGTGGTCTTGCTCCCCCCTACATCTGCCACCTCCTAACCCCCACCCCAGCTACCATCCTGCTCGCTCCCTCCGCTCAGCGGGCTCCGGTCTGCTTCTCATCCTCCACCTCGCTTGTCCCACTATTGGCAGCGACGCTTCTGCCACTCTGCCCCCACTCTCTGGAACACCATTCCGCCATCCCTCCGCCTCTCCCCCTCCCCCGCCTCCTTCAAGACCCATCTCAAGACCTTCCTCTTTGACAGTGCTTTCGATCTCCCTGCTTCCCCCCCTGCCCTCCACCCTCCCCGACCCCGATTCCCAGCTCGGGTCCGTTACTCTGTCTGTCCATCACCTTGGGACGTCCTCCCGCCGTGAAAGGCGCTATACAAATGTAATTTTGTTGTTGTTGTTGTAGCGCCTTATCACGCATTTGAAACGTCCCAGAGTGCTTCACCTGATAATATTGTAAAGTGAATTGATTGTATTTTTGTGTAGTATATTTAGATCGTAAATTGGGAGAAAAAATAACCGACTAGGCCGACAAAAGGAACAGAAGGATTCACATGATTGATGTTATTAAAGGAGCTGGGTGGCAGAGCTTTGCAAAGCAGCATATGAAGGATTCCAAAAGAATAAATCAAGAATTATGGCCACCTATCAAGCTACAAGATGGTTTGAACTGTAGTACAACTACAAAGAGTAGGTGCAAGACCACTTAAAAAAAAGCACTTTTTTTTTCCTTAAGCTGTAGGACAACTATAAGTAATATGAAGCAAACTTCTTAGAACTTCACATTTAAAGTCCACGGTATTGCTCTGTTGTAATAATCTTTGCATTTGATAGAGCACCTTTCAATCTCAAAGCGCTTCATTGGATTCACTGTAAAGTGTATTTTTATAGATAACATTGACAGCAAAATGGACGAAATAAAAAAATTGAAGGCTAATCTTTTTAGGTTATATCCTTTTACAAAGATTCATGGGAATATTCATTAAGTACAATTACCATAATCCAACATACATTCTTTGCAGAGTGAATTTATATTCAACTGGAAAGATAATCCTTTTAGATCTTAATAATAATAATCCTTGCATTTGATACAGCGCTTTTCACGTCTTCGAGATGTCTCAAAGCTCTTCGCAGAATGTACTGTAAAGTGAATTGACTGTATATTTGTGGGCAAAATGCAGCAGCCAATTGTGCGCAGCAATGTCCCACAACAATCATGGATTGAGTGACCAAATTATTTTTTTTTTTTAAGGATTATTATTCCCGGAAAAGTGATCCGCCAATCAACTAATAACCGGGTTCCTACTTACTGCTGGGTAAACAAGAAGCGTGTGGTGTAAGGAAACTCGACACATGACACCTCACATCTACCTCCTCTAGAAGCAGCTTTCTATAGAACTGATCCATTATATAATTTCACCCTCTTCTCAAATCTAAACATAGATTGGTTTCCTTTCCTTTCAACACCCCCAATGGAATTGGGTCAATAATACTCAAAATTGAACTGAACTCGACTTGATGTTTCGAACAGGTAACAAATTGTTTATACGTTTTCTATTAAGAATGAAAAAGCAAGATATATCACACACATAATAAGCAGAGCAAATAATATCAAATGGTGCAGCCACATTCAGAAAGATTTTGAGGTGGCAGACCCAATTCAGTGTGAAAAGAGTGCTAAAATACTTGCATGTTAGAAGACACAGTTCAAATCAGAGGTGTGAGAAGTTTTAAAAGCATTTTTTTTGAAAATAGTTATACAATACATTGGGTTATGATGGAATAATTTCTGAAAGTATGAACTCAGTGCTTACTATATCAAGCTATATATAAAATAAGACATTGCATTACATTAACAGCAGGATAGAATGGATTGTACAAAGGAGGTCAGTGTAAAGAAAAATCATTTACTGGACTCCAGAATGTGCAATTCTGGTCACTTTACCTGAAAAATTACATATTGGCACTGAGGAGCAAAGAAGACAACTTCAGGTATTGCAAGAAATGATTAATGGTGGGTTCATTTCTCTGGGGGAAAAAAAAACCTTTGAAGTTACCCAATTCAAGTTATCCAGAACATAAAGATCATTAAATTGAAGCAGATAATTTGTTCATTTTAAGGCGGAATTCCAATTCCAGGGACATTTAAAAATTAGAATGCTAGAAGGAACTTCATTATCACTGCAAAGTCAGGTGGAACATTATTTGTAACCACCAATGTAGGAAAACTTACAAAATGAATTTCCAAAGAACACGTTGAAACAAATGCCACAAACGCAAGTTAAACTTAAATGAACGCATTCAAGAGGAAGCACATATATGTTGCTGGAGAGAAAAGGAACTGAGGAATATGGCGAGAAATACAAGGAGTTAAGAATCAAAATGAGACAGGTTCATTGAGCTTAAACAGCTCATTCCTGTGCAAAGATTTTGCGGTGTAATATGTAACATGATTAAAGTTTGCAATGTGCATTACCAAATAAATGAAAGGTTTGAAGACAATGTTATTCAATAATAATAATAATAATCCTTGTATTTGATGTAGCGCCTCATCACTTATTCAAGACATCTCAAAGCGCTTCACAGAATATACTGTAAAGTAAATTGACTGTATATTTGTAGGCAAAATGCAGCAGCCAACTGCGCACAGCAGCGTCCCACAAACAGTCGTGATTGAGTGACCAAATTATTGGGTTTTTCTTTAAGGATTATTATCCCCTTTAAAACCCCCAAAATTAAAAGTCTGGATCTTCACATTTCAAGGATGATTTTGACAGTGACTGTAAAGCCCGAAGAACCTTGCTCTCAAACATAGACCACTCACTTCCTGTGACTTTTCCTGTAAGAGAAGTAGCAGCCAAATCGCTGACAGCCATCACTAGATTTGAATACCAATTGTAAACAAGCCCTTCAAAATTATATCCTTAAGCAAGTATCCTCGACCAATGTATTTCACTTGTTGGTTATTTTTAACCCTATCATGTCAGGCTTGTATCTTAAGGCCAGGTGAGAGGTTTTGGCATTGTTGGCAGTACAGTCCTCCAGAAGTTATCTTAGACCAAAGGTCCCATCTGCCTGTACAAGTGGACATTAAAGATCCAATGGCACAACTTGAAGAGAGAAACGAGTTTCAATTGGTGACTTTGCCAACAGTCCACTGGATAAAATTGGTTATTCATTTCATATGAGTTTGTGGGACATTGGCTGCCGCAGTCACCTACAAAATAATCACTGGACTTGCATTTAATCCTGTGAAGCGCTTTCAATGAACGGCATGGAAAGGCACTATATCAAATGTAATTTATTGTTGTGTTTGTTGTTGAAAGGATTATTTTCATTGTGACTAACCTATGTATCTAGACTCCATTTGGTACAATTTGAAGGTCTCTTTGCTTTCAAAAGAAATTGGAAACTATGCTGTCGCAGCTACGGAGGACATGGGGATAGCAGAGGGAATAGGTAGGTAAGCGAGTGTTGAAAACTATCAAGAAGAGGCACATTTGTCAAGTCTATTGGTCATTGCAGGTCATAACATTTTGTATGGGAATGTTACACAGAAAGCCACAAGGAGGGATAAATCATCTCTGCCTGAGCTAACATTGGCTCAAGAATTGGTTTAAAAGTACAGATATTGAGGGGAAAGTTAAATACCAGTAGTTGAGTTTTAAAACAGGGATCTACATTGTAATCAACAACTAATATAGTCTAATATAAAGTCTGTGCACTTCAATGTTACTTGCTGCCATTCAAAAATTGTATTCTGACTGCACTAAAGTATTTCATTGTATCTGTAACTTCAGTTAAGTCTAAAAGTCGGATTGCGTTTCATATTGAAAGTCAAAATTAACAATCCACTTACAACAAACTTTACAATCCCTTGTAAATAATCAGTAATGGCTCATACATAATTATACTTTTAAGAAGTTTTTTTTATATATTGTATCTCTGGATTAGCTTAATTTTAAAAACCGTGCCATCTGCAGTAAACACAAGGGCACATTAGCTTTTTTTTAACAAAATGAATGCACATTACCTTGCTCCCAGCCCTAAGACAAACACAAGGTAAGAAGAAAATTCACTGTGTGCTCCACTAGAGGTGATGAGTATGTGTCCAAGTCCAGATCAACATTTTATTCTGAATGTTCCAATGCTATTTCTGTGAGTTCACTAGTTTTCCTCACCAGGTTCCAGATACAAGCCTGGCATAATGGAGTTAAAAATAACCGTTGGCTTGTAAGTATAAAAGTACTCGCCAGATAATAATAATAATCCTAGATGAATCAAGCGTTCCGAGAAGCTGCCCTGTGCGAAGGGGGCCACCTAATGCAAGTTGTTGTTGTCGTTATTGAGTTATTCTCAACGCTTAGGTTCATGCTGTGGAGAAGATGGTGCATTTTAAGGAGAAGCATGTATTTTTATAGTACCTCATCGGATTGAAATGTCTCACAGCGCTTCAAGAGTAATTACTATCAAGGATAGTAACTATTTCTTTACAAAAACGCTCAGCTATTTGCAACAAACTACCACAAACAGCCACGAGGTGAATGACCAATTAATCTGGAGGATAGGAGCAAATAGAACAAAACAGAACAGGGCATGCATTTCCTGATTTGAAACTTGCTGTAAGAATTGTACTTTGTTCACTCACCAGAAAGATCCTGTAGGCATCAATGCGTCTGACTGATCCCCAGCATGGATCTGTATCATTGTGCTTTATCTTGCTTTTGGCACTGCATGATTGATTACCACTGAGGGAAAAGACACACGATGGTGACAATGTTCTCCTTCATTAGCATAAAACAGAGTCCAAGTCAGTCACGTCAAAACTCATTTCATTTGTTTTTTTTAAAGAAAAAGCTCACAAACAAAGATGTTTGATGGATTTGTGAGGTAAATACTGAAAACAAATGTGCCTGATAAAATGAAGTTTATCACGCACTGAAGGTCATATTTGGTCTTGCACTGCAACCCAGCACTTTAAACACACAGCTTAATTGTTACAGCTTTTTATCTGTCTTGGTTATCTGTCAGCTAAAATTGGTCTAGCTAAGCCCACGACATAATCTTTCACTTCATTGCAGTATGAAACCATTGCATCTGCTCTCGGCTAACTAAACAGTCTCGTCTGTACAAACATTGACAAAACTTCTAACCGAAAAAGGTTGTACTAAATAGAAAGACGAAGAAAAAAAACTTGTTTTTAAAAAAAACAGTACCTTCCCTACAGGGAAACAGGTCATTGTAACAGTCTCTAGGATTTATCTCTGTGTGAAGACTAGTCTGGTGACGTGCTCTGAAGCAGCCAGATCTCAAGAAAGTTCAATACTGATTATTTGCCCAAAGGTCCCCCTTCCTGTTAAGTGTAATGAAGCTGCTCTGTACATAGCCTAATCCCCTTCCCAGTGATTAAGAAATGCAGCCTAGGACAGAAAGATGCTTGCAAGGTATTGTTGAAATGAACATTTCCTGCTATGGGGAAAAATAGTTTTGTAAATTCCATTCCTCCACACCCCTATCTTTCAATCCTAACACAGTGCAAGCATGTTATGCAGACCACAAAACATAGTCAATTCACTTCACAGTATATCCGGTGAAGCGCTTTGAGATGTCTAGAAGACGTGATAAGGCGCTATATCAAATGCAAGGATTCTATATTATTATTTTTAAGTAGTAAGTACTCAACTCTAGATGTTATTTCCCTTTTAAATATTTAACGTATGAACAGGGTAAACAATGATACAAATAAAGCAGAGAAGGTGATCACTATTCAGCTGATCAAGTCTACGCCTAGCTCATCCCAATTACCTGCTCTTTCCCACACCCTTTTATATGCTTCTTCTTCCCTATTCCCATTGAAATGTTGTCCCAGCCTCAGTAAGCCACTTTCAGTACAGCGTTCCATGTTCTAACAAATCTATGAAAAGGTTTCTTCACACCATTAGATTATTTGTTACAATTCTGATCTTATACCTGCTTACTTTTTTTAAAAAAAGGAGTTATACCACATTCACATCAAATCAGTTAAATTTAATCACTTACAACAAAAGTAACTAATAAATGTTGCTCCATAATCTGGCATCGATTTCTGAAATTAAATGCAGGATTTGATTTAAATGAACTAAAGTGCGACATATGAATGCATGTGTGTCAGTTTGGTTCAATTTGTAGCGCTCTTGCCACTATTCAGAAGATAGATATGCAAATTTCATGTTAAAATTGAACTACTACCTATTCGTGAAATTCACCTATGCGAAGATGAAAGCTAGTAGAACATCCTCTTTAAACAGCAAACCCTTGAAGTTAAAAGAATGGCGAGGTTGAAAGAATCGACAGTTTTCTCAGAAGCCCATTTAATTCTCAAACTGATGGAACCAAAGGAATACAGGGCACTTAATGGATGGGGCCTGGATGGTCACGTTCTCACATCAGTCGGGTAGGCAGACTGAGCAGAGATACCCAACTTACGGTAAAGTCAGAGCAAAGTCAAAGATCGGTTTTTAACAGTAAAGAAAAAATAAAATGGTCAACACAAATTCTTAATTACATTCAGACTGAATGAATTGAATTCCCACCAAACATATCAATAGCTAATTTTTTTTTTTGGGGGGGGGAATCAAAGGCTGTCAAGAGTACTGAAATCCTCAATATCGAGTGTTTTTGACAAGTCTAAGAGAGAGACAAAAAAAAGACATTTTGGTCATCAGAGAGGACATTTTAAAATGTGTTTGTTCCATAATCTGCCCTCACCTCATTTGCAAATTGGAACAAACAGTTATGTAAAGAGGGGGAAAAAAAAACAAGATTCAAGAGGTCAGTGACAACCACTTTGACATTGAAGCTTCAGGGAGGACAAGTCTCGCAGTTAAGAGCAGTACTCACCAGACCACTTCAGTGAGGGAATATGGCACAGCAGCTGCATAGATTGCCAGATCCCCATAGAGGTAGATTATGATGCAGATGTAGAACATGTTGACTCCCACTGTGGGAAAAACAAAACAAATTAAAGATGTTGCAACCATATGGGTTCTCAATCTTTTTTTTTAATTACAATGACAGATGTTCTTCTCCACAATTCAACTTTATTTTGTGAGAGTACCTTTCTGGTTGTTGGCACCTGGAACCAAAGGCAATGTCAAACGATCCAGTTCAGCAATCTGTCCCTTTTCTTAATTCTTATTTAATTTAACTGCGGCTGGAGATTAATTTAGATCCACTAGCAACCAAGTCCAACAAGGTTTTCTCAGCCTCTACATGCATTCTCAGTAAACTACCGGACGCCACATCCTTCAAATGCAAGGATTATTATTTAAAAGGATTTAAGGGCATATTTAAACCACAACACATACCGAGTTTTGATAGAGGTGCACTATATTCTGAGCAGCCAGCTGGATGATTAAGACCATGTAAACAATACCTATCTATTTAATTTTTTTTATTACAGTTAGTGTCAATTTATCCCAAATATCCCTGTTTAAAGCGCAGTACAAATCAGGTTAAAAACTAATGTAATTTTACAAGAACATTTCCTCCCCAAACCAACAATAATCCTTGCATTTCACATCAGGAGGATGTCTCGAAGCATTTCACAGGACGTACTGAAAAAGTGTAATGCCTTTTTCATTGGCGAACATGGCAGCCAATTTGCACACAGCTGTGTCACACAATTATAAAAGTGCATTCAAATGAATGCTATTTTTAGTGATTCATGTACACCGGACCTCAAAACCACATTAAACTGCAGCACAGTGCGCAAAGATCCAGACTTCTGTAATCAAATCAGACCCAGCATACCAATTCTGAGCTGCTTCCAACCCCATCTTTGCCAAACAACCATTTTTGCTCCAAACAGCAGTGTTAAGTATCCTAACGAAAAGATGAACCATCTCACTACCACCAAAATTTGTGTAGTGGAAGATACCCTGGATTGAACCTATTGTACAGCTTAGCATCATTGCTTTAGCACACTCAAAAACACTCATTTTGTTCCTCGCAACATTTCAGAAGCAAACCTAGACTTGTGAAGAGCAAGAATGTTAATGAGCAGCTACTCAGCACCAATACAAATGCACTCTGGTGACATATCCTCAAGGAATAATAGATAGGAATAGCTTTGATTTCAAACATGTCAATGGAAACAGTTGCAGTTGCTGTTGAGCACAGCAACAAGAATCTGTTACTGGTTTTCAGGGCAAATTGTCAGTCCAACAATGCCCAGCATCTCTCGTTCTCTCTCAAATCTTCAGGGAGGAGAAAAAAGATAAAGAATCAAGCAGTAAAAAGGGGCGTCAGTGCCAGAGGGCAAATAGGCCTGGAGCAGATCTGACAACTGTCTCACTTCAATGCAGTTTCACAAAACAAGAGATTATACTATGTTGATACAATCAGAGTAGTGTAACGCTCCAACAGTGTAGTGCAACGTACGTTTAAAGTCACTGGACTAAATACAATAAATGCGATATTCTACACTAACTTTCAGAAACTAAACCAGTTCACAAGGGAGGTTTGGGTGAAGAAAGCCTTCTGGTCCACAGGATCTCATCCTTCCAGATTACCACTCTACCATCCTCCCATTACACTATCTTGAAAATGTCCAGTGTCCTGGCCTCAACTATCTATTCTAGTTGTTAATTACTCTCTAGATAAAGTAATACATACTATTGCTGTCTTGAAATTGCCCTTTGCAACCCTCAACCTGTGCATCTTGGTCTGCTGCCTTGGTGTATCTGAAAATATTGTTTGATTTACTTTGTCAATTTCACTTAAAATCTTAAACATCTCTATGAGGTCAACTTGAGATGTTTTACATAGCTAGTCTAATCAGTGCTCACAAGTCATTCCTCTCGCTTGGACTCCTTTGCAATGCTTCAAAGGGCGTGGACAGCAATCAGAACTATATATAATAATCTTTGCATTTGAGTATTCAAGGCATGGCCCAAGCACCTACAGCTTGAGCACAACTTCTGGGGACATGAACTCACCAGATTTAGCAATATAGCCCACAATATAGCCCAACATCTCGTTTGACTTATTAAATAACTAGTAATCAATTCAGAACGTTAAGCATAATTAAGCTAATTTTGAGGCCATGAAAATTAATGTGCCTCATCTTTTTTTTTACAATTGGAATGGTTTTTATTTCCTCATTACTGCAAACCTCAGATGGTTGGAATCTACAGCAATGGTACACTTCCTCCATAAAACCTGTATGCTGTCCTCAGATTGCTGCACTTATTTATAAGCCTTGACAAATCCATTCCCAATTAGTAATAGCATTACTTGCTTTATATATTGTGTATTGTGTCATAGATCTCAAAATACTTCACAGGAGTTCACCTAACATAGCAGTAGTGTACATAAGTTTCAGATTTCCCTATTCTCTGAACAAACAGTGCACACTCATCTCAATCTTATGGAACCATTTTTCATTCTTCAGCTAAATCTTTACCCTGCTAATTAAACTAATCATTTTTGTAATTTTAGCTCCAGTTTCCAAGGTATCAACGAAGTCAGTGCTTCCAGAAGATGGATAGCAGTCATGAGATTCTCTATCATCCATTCTGTTCTCCAAAGGTTCACTTCCCACTTGGAGGATGCAAGTCTATTCATTACAATGAAGGAAATTACATCAGGGAGGCCATTAGAAAACGGGTCATTGTTTAGTCCTAGACTTGATTAATCTTTTATCAGTATAAATGTGCAAGTTCTCAGCACTGGTCTCTGACAGGTAGTGCTAATGAGAATGAACTGACAAGCACTGCACAACGAAGGACAGATTCAGGAGCAGTATTCAGAAGCAAGGACAGTTTACAGACTTCTAAATTAACCTCTTCAAGACTAAGAAGGATCATGTACACAAATCCTACATTCTCTGCAGCTTTTCACTCCCCCTCCCCCAACCCAACAGCAATCCATTTGATCATTTATTTATAATAATAATACTTACATTTGATATAGCACCTTATTACATCGTCGAGACGTCTCAAAGCACTTCACAGAATGTACTGTAAAGTGGAGTGACTGTGTATTTTGTAGACGAAACATGGCAGATACTTGCGTACAGTAGTTTGCACAGTAGTTTCCCACAAACAGTCGTGGATTGAGTGACCAAATTATTATTGTTATTATATTTTGGGAGGGAAGGGATTATTACCCCCGGAAAGAGATCCGGCAATCGACTAACAACCGAGATATTTATTTGGGAATGCTTTGGGCCAAGCCCATAGGCATGCAACAGCTGACCCAAAAGCCATTAGATGGTGTTTAGTAAAGCAGTGTCATTTGTCAAAATCAAGTCACTAAAGAAAAAAAATATTAAAGTAATTTAGGAAACTTTTAGAGAACTAAAATTTAGAGAAACTGAATTAGGATGCATGCAGCATCACCCAACCCCCAACAGTGAGCCTCAAACCTTACTCCATCTGGAGCTGCCATATAGATTTTATGCGCAGGCTGACAAGAGGATATTATTGGCTGCCAGTTAACCTTACATACAAGAGATACACAAGGCCACCATCTTATCCGCAGTGGAATACATGAAGGGCCAAGCAAACCTACGCAAACATATCCCACTTAGTGTAACTAAAATCTGCCTTATTTAATTCAGGTTGGGTTCCACCTACACGTTGGAAATCTCTGGAGGCACAATAATGACATGAAAGATAAGTCAGAGCACAAAAATAGGACCAGAAGAAAATATGGTATAAATCAAGATCCAATACACCAGTGCAAAAACAAGCGGAATTGATGCAAATGAATGAAAAGTTGAATTAAATTTTTTTTTTTATCCGCAGCACAGTTAACATTGGTATGAAAACATTTGGTTTAGTTGATCGTTTTCTTCCGCGCCCTCACCCACATAGTTATTGTATTCCTGTAAATTTCGAACTTTAAAACTGATTTCCCTTTGAACACTTAAAAACAAAATGTTCACAATTTTAAATGAGCTGTATTCTGCGAATAGTTAAAGGGAGCAATTCAATTTCCATGCGTTGCCTCGGTTTCATTAATGTCAAGCAGCACTTACTATTTAGGGGTACATCAGAGTTAATCCTACAGCTCTCCCACAATATTCAGGATATTAAAACAAAATCAATACCCATGTTCCACTCAACCACCAGAGCAATAAAACACACACATAGAACCTGCAAATCTGATGTCAGCTATAAATACCTATACATTTTAGTGCAGGCTAATTTATGACTCCCATGTTAAGGAATTAGGATGAAATATTTTTCATTTAATAATTAAAATATCAAAGGAGGGAGGTATATCGAAGGTGAGTGATCAATTTTTAAAAATGGTTTTGAAAGTTGAGAGAGATATTTAGGGAGAAAGAGTTCCAGCGAGCAAGGGCAAAATAGCTCAAGTCTTGTTCACAAACAGCAGTAGACAGGATGGCAAGCAGGCCTAAGTTATCAGAGTGGAGGGAACGAGTGAAGTGTAGGGTGTGGCATGGAGGCATTTGAAGGAATTGAAAGTCAATCTGATGAGATCCCCAGAATAATTGGAGGCTGTAGTTTAACGCCAAGTTGAGATGACAGATGTTTGAAGGACAGTCTTGAAATCACTACTATGTATTGAGTTGGTTTTAAATCAGTTTAATGTCAGCAGTGGAAGTCAGACTGAAAGATTGACGTAAGTGGTACGAATTGTAGATAACCATTTATTTTATGAAATATTATTCCTCTACTACAATAGTCAATATCTTAACCAACAGATGATCAGCTGAGTTTCACTCATGTCAGGCCAGAGCAACTTCACATCATTAAATCCAGTCATTGATTTAACTCTAAACTTCATGGCTAGTATTGGAATATTCATTAAAGATATGGAACACCAAATGGTTCAAATTACTCAAGGTCCTCAAGGTTGAGATCCATAGATTCCCATCTGTATTTTTATACGCATGGTCTGCCATGACTATTGAAGCTTGCTCCCACGAAACAATTATGTGCAAAATAGGGTCTTATCATTTCAGTGCAATATTCTTGCACCACTATACTAATTAGCCAGTTTGCATGCTCATACTGAACCATGGTACACAGAATGTATTTTTAACATAATAAAATAATATAGTACACATCTTCAATCACTTCCCTTGTTCCATCTCACATTCATTTTAGCATTTCCCAATCTGTAAAATGAGTTTCCTTTCCAATTAAGCTTCCAAAGGCAAGGTACTAAAAATGCTAAGCTTTCGATATCAATTCATAAACTAAATCACATTATCTTTAGACAAGAAGGGAAGCACAAGGAACATTTTAGTCCAAAGTACTCCCTCATCGAAAAAAAGTAGAGAAATAATTTAAGAAGACCCATCCTTTAAGGAGATGCTTGTCCTAGTTTTCCCTTCCACACTTAGGATGGACATAGACATCTGAAATGAGTATAACCTCAAAATGAAAAACGTTCATTGTACATTAAACACCGCTACTGTTTTGTGTTGATGAAGGAACAACACATTTACATCAACATGTGTACAATTATTTCTCACCAAAAATACATTATATATATTAAAAAGCATGTTTAGCCCAATCTGCCATATGAAATTTCACTCACAAAATACACAATAAATTCACTTTACAGTATATTCTGCAAAGCGCTTCAAGACTTCTTGAAGACGTGATACGGCGTTATATCAATTGCAAGGATTATTATTTATGAATCTCCCAAATAGCTCGGGGAGGGGGTGGGGAAGAAAACAAACTCAGGATAACCCTGGGCCAGATGTCAAAGTGTAGAGCCACCCAAAAAGTTCTTAATCTTGAAAATAAACTTCATTTTAAAATGTATTCCTCGTCAAGAGCTTCAAAAAATCAAATGCGGTTTCTTATAAATGTGTAATTCCACAACCTCGGGCTCACTTTGTCCCTGCTGAGCATCCATCAGCAGAGATGTAATAAGGTTTGACCAAAATGGCTTTGAGCAACATTAAATATATTAGTTTCCACAGCTGGATCCTTAAATTGGGAACACAATATACAGCAGCCCCTCATCAGCACACGTAAGACACCACAACTTTCTTTATGAAATAACTTGCTAAATTTCTTCTTAAGAAATACAAGGCCACTTGTTGAAACATGCATTTTAAATGCCCTTAAATCTTGGGAAAGCAAGCTAAAGGAATGGACAGGTGTTACGTCATACGTGCCCCAAAAGGGAATCAGCTTCTGTCTGTCCATAATTCACATCATTACAATAAGCTTTAATTAAAAAGAACATCATAGGTAAGCTTCGTTCATATAAACATTACATTATTTTTCTGCAACTTTCCTGTATGGCACCTCCAATGTTGCCAGGTTTGCTCAGGCTGATAGAGGGAGAAAATTGAAACTTCAATCTGGTGGTCCAAAATGAAGGTTGGACTGTCATGACAAAAAGAAACATTCCTTGCAACTTATAACCCTAAACCACAGGTCACATGGAATGTCAAACTGAGATGCACTCACCTTTATTGAAGAACATTGAGGCCATCTGACCCATTTCCACTCGCTGCACAATGTCAAAAGTGTCATGCATTCCTGTTCTCTCTGGACATCAAAAAGAGAAATGTATTAGGATAGTTACAATCCCAAATCCGAAAAATGGGATGAATCAATGGTAACTTTCAGATCAACAAATAGTCCCACAGTTTGCAATTGATCTGAAACAGCAATCTCTGTAGATTACAGAAGTACTACAGAAAAAAATTCAAAATTCCCCATCCACTAAATCAACAACAGCAACAACAGATTACATTTGTACAGCGCCTTTCACGTCAGGAGGACGTCCCAAGATGATGGAGAGTCAGGGATCCGCACCCGAGCTGGTGGCTGGGATCAGGAGGGGTGGAAGGCGGGGAGGAGAGAGACAGAAGGGTGACCGAATGCACGGTCAAAGAGGAGGGTGTTGAGATGGGTCTTGAAGGAGCCAAGGGAGCGGGCGAGGCGGAGGGACTGTGGGATGGAGTTCCAGAGGTTGGGGGCAGAGAGAAAACAACATTTATTCCCATCAAAATTAAAGCAATTTGCAGTTTGACAACCATGCTCTATTGCAATACTTTAAGCAACTTTGTTTATTCATTTCAGTGGATTCACGATTCTAAACACAAGTGCACATTTTAAATTCATTCAAATGAGATTCATCACAATGACTAGAATCTTTAAGGCTTGTGGAGCCCTCCCCTCCCATAACAAATAATTGGGAGTTTTTGGGAGGAGAGGAATTTCATTTTTAAATTCCTTCTTAAAAATAATTTAAGCGGGGAAGGATGGGGGCTCATAAAACCTGGAGGAAATGGTCACATTGGACTCCAGTTATCAATAGCATTATTGATTCATTTTCACAATTTAATCTATCAAGCTACTTCGTTTCCAAACGGCATGATCACCGCATCATTCCCTTTCTTTTCAACCGCCCCCCACAAATTTTTTTTGGAATACCCTAACTCTCAGGATAATCAAGGAAAATAGTTACTATCCCTCTATCAATCAATCCCCTTCCACAACAAATATTGATCTAGTCCCTTGTTAAAATGAGTCATTTGACCCAAGATTAATGAGTTCATCGGGGAGCTGTTCCACATATCAATCACCCTGCGAGAGGGGAAAAAAATATTAATTTTAACTTCCAGTGTAGCTCTCGGCTTGTGAATCTTTCATTCACATCTTCTCGTCCACATTCACCTACTAATATAAATAGCCTCCTTATAATTCTAAGTGCCTGCACAACATCACAGAGTTCTTCCCCCCAGTCCTTTTTGGAATTTTAATTTGTAATGCACGCGATTTCTTAAAATATAACAATTTGCTCTGATACATCGACCTGAAGCATGACTCAGTAACTAATAAAAACTCTAATATTATATCCACAGCCTAGTGGCTTGCCTAATTCTTCCAAAATTACAGTGCCTTGTGCTGAGATACTGAACAGTGATCTGCCAGGTGAAAGGGAAAAATTGGGAGATGAAGCCACCATTCAAATGTATTTGGGTTTGTTGCTATATTCATTTTTTGTGGTATCCCGGGAAAAGGCAGCCTGGCCTTTTATTTAAGAACCTGCTATTTGCTTTATGCAAACAAATGACTTCCATAGCATCCCTTGTCCTAATATTGCCTGAAGAACATTGAAAAGTTATAACTGTATGATTGAACAAATGTACATTTAGGAATTAAGACAGTTAGGTATTCAAAATACAAAAACATCCCCTTTTCACCTCGTAATCAGTTCTTCAAAATAAACTTTTTGGAGGAAAAAAAATCATCTTTAGAAAGCTTAAAATTTTTGCAGTCTCTAAGTATAAATAGACTGTTTTGTAAAGGTTAGTTAGTGATAACGCGCTATTTCTCATGTTATTTTCAGGTTCAATTTCCCGATTTACACAACTTTCAGAATCATTAGTGTCACATCAGTGAAGCCGTGCACACTATAAAGGCAATTAACTAAAATCAGCAAACTTGATTTAGTAGCCAAAGTCGAGGCAGCTTACATCACAAGCTCTACTGAATACCTACGAACTGATAGAATAGGCCTCGTCTCTGATCGTTCATGACCATCACGTATTGCAACTTCATTGTTATCATCATCGTAGGCCTCCGAGGAGTCGTCGCTATCCTCCACCTAAAATGGGAAAACAAATTTCATCAGAATGGTCTTCATTAGCTTCGAAAAAATTTACTTCAATTCCATATTTCCTCTCGACCCTTAATACAGTATTTGCTAGTAAACAGAGAACCCAAAGGAAGGTTGACATTATTGATCTATTAGAAACATAGAAACATTCAGCCCCTCGAGCCTATTCTGCCATTCTATAAGATCACGACTGATCTGTACTTCAAGTCTATTTACCCGCCCTTGCCCCATATCCCTTAATACCCTGACCTAACAAACATCTATCCACCTCAGTTTTGAAGATTGAATGGATCCAGCATCCAGCCTATTGATGGAGAGAGTTCCAGATTTCCACTATCTTTTGGGTGAAAAACTGCCTCCTAATTTCACTGCTAAATGGCCTAGCTCTAATTTTAAGATTATGCCTCCTTGTTCTGGATTCCCCTACCAGAGGAAATAGCTTCTCTGTATTTACCCTATCAAATCCCTTCATTATTCTCAATATGAACCAAATTAGGTTCCGGCTACAGTTTAATAATCCTAGCATTTGATATAGGGTCAAACACTGAAACGTCTCAAAGCACTTCACAGTAATTGAGTGTAGTGACTAGGCAAATAAGGTAGTCAATTTGCACAAAGCAATTTTCCACAAACAGCCAGGAGGTCAGTGACCAAGTTATTTGGAGGACGTTGGAAGAAATTCCCTTCTCTTTTCGAACAGTCATAGGTTTCACCCAACAGACGTGACCTTGGTTTAACATCTGATCCAAAGGACAGCACCTCTGACAATGCAGCGCTCCCACCCAAAACTGTACTCAGTGTCAGCCCATACTGTGAGTTTAAAGTCCAACATGGGGCTTGAACCCACAACCTTTTGATCTAGAAGAGTGCTACCAAATGACCCAAGCTGACAGTTAGGTCTGAACTGTTTCTACTCAAGACTTCCAATATACATCTGATCCAGCAAGCCATTGGTATAACATATACAAAGCCCTTAAATTTCTCCTTAGAAAATGTGTAGGGGGGGAGAGAGAGGGGAGAAAGAGGATGATGGTAGCAATTTCATTTTTGATAAGTATCTGGCATTAAATTAAGATAAATTCACTAACAGCTGAGGCAACTGTTGATGAATAATCGTGGCATATGACAAATATACATATCTCATGTCAGGCAGCAATTGCCAGTGTAAAGAAACAACATGCTGATTATAAGCACATCATATTTCCAGACAAAGCAATAAAAAGAATTTGCAAGGTTATATCTCTCCTCAGAGGAGCGCTAAATCACTAATCTACCTGGAATTTATAAGACGTTTTAACATAATAACTCCCGCTATTTGTAAACTGTGACCTTCAACGCAAAAAATGAGTTATCAAAGAAAAGTGGTTTGTCCTTTAAGCAGATGCTATCTGGAAATTCATGAGACATTATTGCCAGCAGGCTGATGAACAGAGATGACAATTTATTTCAAATACTAGTCAGAAGAACGGCAGGGAACAAAGCTAATTAGTTGATAAGTCAGTATGTGGCAATGAGGCTTAGCATACTTCTCAACCAATGGATTTTATTCAGACCCACAAAACAAACAAGCCCGCCAAACATGCTGCATTTCTATCAGGTTAAATCCCAGGTCATCGAATTCCCTTTTGGTACCTAGAAAAGGAAGGTTTACATTACAACAATATCACTTGATCTTTAGACACCTGCTGAAATTTTAAAATAAATGCAATTTATTGCTATTGTATTGATAAACAAAAGGACACCAATTTCAACACCAGTTAATATTGTTTCAGAAGTACCAGGTTTGCTAAATCTGTTCGGGAGCAACAGTGTAGACCAGATGGGAATAGGGTCTTGTACAGCTGTCAGGATAAAAATAAAATGTTCTCACAGCGTTACCAAGCTTCAACAATCTTTTCTACTTGCTTCTGTAGTGGAAGTATTCTTTCTCTCTCCCCTGCACCCCACCATTTTTTTAAAAAAGGAGATTGACAAATGTAAGATATTGCCAACATGAAACAAGTTTGGAGAACCTCAACACATATACCGAATGTCCATCCACATCACAAACTGCCTATAAACCTAGCAATATCACTCAAGTTGGATCATAATAGTTGGTGCAGGAAAGCAGACTATTCACAATGGTACAGCAGGGGTGCTCTATTAAGACTGCGTTAAGGATCATTGTTCGATGCAGTGGTAGAGAAGCTTTACTCGTGCTTTGTCTGATGGGCACCCAAAGTATTCAGTTTCCCAAGAATCACAAAATGCACAAGTATATAAAAGTACTGAGAAAAGCAGAAACCTTTGGTCCATCGATTGGATGCACATAGCACAGAATTCACTTTACCCATGATATATTCCACTGAATTTGAGAAATTTCTCCCCACTGTCCTCCCAGTAAATCAAGCAGCATCTTTACTGCGGAATACTGCTAGCCCCATATCTCAAACTATTCAATTTGGTTCATTTTCTCAGCATGACATTCATGGTTCCAGTACCTCAGAAACTATCATGTGTAGCTTCAGTCATATCAGTGGCTTTCTTTAGAGATTTCAATCCTTTTTTNAAAAAAAATCGTACATTTATGCAGCTTTCAACAAAAGTGCAATCAATTCCACTTTGAAAGAAAGTAATTCCTAATTGAAGTTGCACTTGAGTATGAATTGTACATTCATGTCCTCCAGTGCTGCACTCACAATCCAAGTTAAATAACCTGAATGCTTTGTTCCTCAGTATTTTAAAAACCGTATTTGCAGACCAACCTTTCAAATGAAAAGTCTGGAAGGAATAATTCAAGGCAGAGTAATCACGTTTTCCTCTTTCAAAAAACTGTTTAGAAGCCTTAGATATAAATAGAGCTGAACCCTTCCTCACACCATCTTGCCACTGGATTTCAGATTTTAACAAATTCTGATGGAGGCTCACACCTGAAAAAGAGCCACAACTCTTTCCTCAGCACCTGCCCTCCAGCTCCAAATCATTTCCCACAGGCAGCTTTGATGAATAGTTGTGTACAAGACGTTAACTTTTCATAAGATAGACCTGCTGTGCATTTTTAAAGTTGTTTCCCTGCCCCAGTCAAGTGTCAATTTTGTCTGCAAATAACTCAAATCTCTTTATTGCTGTGTTAAAATCTCTAATCCCAGAGGGGCATTTTGTTTCAATATCTTCACCTCTTCCAAATGCAAAACTTCCTTTAAAAATGTGGCTTCAGAGCATTGCTCTTAAATGTTCGATCACTTGATTTTGCGATTGACAGAAAGCAGATGTAGACGTGGAGGACTATAACGGACATTTGGATAGGACAAATGGTAATAGGTGAGCGCTGTTTCATTTCATGGCAACCACACTATAACCAATCAATTCCCGTTCATTTTCAAAGCTTTGAACTATCAAAGCTGAAACTTCCAACAAAAACATGTCATTTCTGATTTCTATTAGTTAGTGTTCAAGTCTTCAGCAAGAGCTCCTCAAAAAAAAATGCGCAAGTGCAGCAGACACTAATTTAAGTTTCGATTTCATTTTGGGTTACTTAAAAAAAATTAGAATATCAAATCGGATAATTATGATTAGGTATTACAAAAATCAGACATGTTGTCAACTTCAAAACCTCATGCGAATTGGATCCTAGACAAAAATTTGTATTTTTAAAAACACAATTTTATGAATAGTCAATTCAACCAATATATAAAAAGACAAACTTAACTTGAACCATTGTCATTAGCACACATCCTAGAAACTTTTTTTTGAAAAAAACAGCTTCATTTCACATTTACATTCACGCCAGTAGCAATATGACAATGCATTTTACCATTGAATAATGAAAAGGAAGAATACAAATTAACTACTACAGACATCTCATAACATTACTGAAGTCCTCAAGTCATAACCTTTCCTTGTAGTGTTTGCAATAGTCACCAATTACTCAAAACTTTGAGTGAGTCACATGTCTCTTTGAAAAGGGATCCTCGGGAAAGTTAATAGCATACATTTTAGTGAAAGGCACTCTACAAATTTTCTTGTTGTTTTCTTGTTGTTCNTTTTTTCCTCGTTTGGCATAATAAGCGATTCCACTGTCTTTCCCTACTCAACAGAAATATTGAATGCTTGTTTGCATAAAAGAATACAGCTTACAATGATAGGTTACATACAATTGCTATGCAGCGTCAGAAACTACTGCATTTATGATGCCGAAAGAATATTGTGTTTATATTTTATGGAACACTTCATCGCATTAAAATTTCTGAAAGTACTTCACACATTATTTTTAATAAAAACATGTGCAACATCTGTTATACGGGCAAATGCAGCAGGAAATCTACACCAGGAACATTAAACACTGAGATGAATGATCAATTATTAGTTTTGGCGAGTTCAGATACCGGAAAATTATTTCCTAAGACACTGGAAACAGCATTTGCAGATATTTTGTTTGTCTATTGGTATGAAAGCTGGAGTGTAGCATATGATTGTCTTTCCCTTAGGGACAGACTGTAATGGTCTCGCCCTGAACATTCATAAAAACAAATTTTCCGCAGAGGTAGGGGGCTATTCTGCCCATCATATCAGTGCTATTCTACTCAGTTTTTAATTAAGCTCTTTCCTTTCCCTCTCTCTTCGCGCCCCCCACCCCAATTCAATGTTTTTACTGCTTGTAAGCTTATCTAGTTCCCTTTTAAATTATTTTGATCCTTCCTTAATACCCACATGTGGCTATGAATTCTAAACCCCAATGATTTCATAGAAGAACTGATTCGCAAGCTTTCTGCTGCTTGTCCAGTTAGGACCACCTGCCCATTATGGTTTGCAAAATTAACAAGAGCCGAGTGGAAATAATCACTGCCCCAGTGACCAGTTTGCCCCTCTAAGTCCAACTGATGAAAAGGATTTTCAGTCTCACCTCTTCCACTCTGCTGCTTATCAGATTCCCCCAATTAGGAAAAAAAGTTCCACCCCCCCAAAAATTATTTGTTAAAGAGGAATAGTAATGGGTTTTGTAAAGGAGC